TCAGGCCTACGAAGAAAAAGTGGGTATATGAATTTTGTCTAATAAAAAGACAAAAAAAACCTAAAAAAAAATATTTAAAAATAAAAGAAGTTAATAGAATGTCAGAAATGAAATACTTTTGTGCAAAGCCAGATCATTTTGTACAACACTACAATTGTGATTTGGAAGCTGATTTCAGATCATTTTGTATAACACTACCATTTATAATTTGGAAGATCATCATGTTGCTTGAATGCTAAAAACAGATACAGAACAAGCAAGTTTTCAGAAATGTATGTATTGCATTTTGGATTTGTTTGAGCTTCCTTTCTATTTCTTGTAAGAGAGAACGGTCTTTTTTAACAATGAATTGAGTTAAACGTATTCAAAGAAAATGGTTTATCTGCATTGAATGCAATTTGATAAAAAATCTAAATGCATAAGTACAGAAAAATAAATATTTTGTTTTCTAGATTTATTACAATTACAATTATTTTTTGAACAAAAAACAAAACAAACTTCTAGCAACGTTCTCTGTACAGTTGATTAACAAATTCGCTAAAGGAAAATACGTTGTGAGGCAAATTTCTCTTTACCTAATCAATATCATAATTTGTTCTGAGATGCGTATGGATTTTACTGATATTCACCGAGTGATTTTATCTATTTGTTGCATTTCTTACATTTGCAAGTTGATTTTCTTTATCACGCAGTATATAAAACCTCACAGAGTTTTCGTCAACTTGTAGATAATTATTTAAATTTTTTTAGACATGTTGAATGTTTCTGGATATTAAAATAATTTAATTATATCGATTATATAAAATATATTGGTTATTCGGTGACGGATCCAGCATTCTTTGGTGTTTGATATAAAATGTGAGCTAACTTTTAGTCGCGGAGCAAACTCCAAACGTTTGTATATTTATACGTATGTCAAATACTGATGCTTTGTAAATAATTGCGATGATTGGAGGCTGGAAACAAAAAGGCCTTTAAATTTTATCCCCCAACCCACCCCAAGCGTCAGGGACAACAATTTGATAAAATATTTTTTGTTTTATTTTTAACTAGACTTATATTCCTCGATAAAATTTAAGTTTGATAATATCATCTCTCAGCGTTCAAAAATTATTACCATAAAAAAATTGTAACCCCCTCAACTTAAGGGATTTTAAAATTTAGTAATTCAAAACAGTTCATATTTTATGTACTCCTTTTTATTTGATAAATATCTTTTAAACCAAAATAATTTAACATTTTTAATCCATAATGTTAAAGCTTATAAGAAATATAGCATAAATACAATTGTTTGGCACAACGGTCAATGATTTAAGTGAGATGAAGGAAAACTCCTAATCTTAAGCAGTCCGTAAAATCAGGTTTTTTAAAAATAATAAATCTTTAATAGTAATATTTAGTAAAATCAAATGTTAAAGCACATTTAAAAGCAAATGAACTATAAAATCCTACTGAGAAATTAAAAATTGCACGTCTTTCAACAGTTATAATGTCTGATATTTTAAATAAATGTTTTAATGATAATATTTTACTTATATATAATAACTTTTTCTATTTATATAAATGATTTATTTTTAACATAACACTAATAAAACTTTTTGTTATTAACAAACGACTTCAATCTGTTTTATTCTCATAAGAATATTAAAACAGTCTTAAAGTAGTTAATAAAAAGTTAAACAAACTAAAAGAGTGGTTTTCATCTAATGACTTTTGGTTAGCATGAAAAAAAAAATTAAATTTGTTTGAAAACAAATAAAGAATAGAGTACTCCTATAAAACTACTAGATCTTTAAATATAAAAAACAAATATTACTAGATAAACATCTGTAAACCTTTAGGTGTTATTTTAATAATAATTTTATCAAGGAGATTTTATAAAATGAAACTCAAATAAAAGCTTTGCAATGGTGTATGAACCAAAATCATTTTTAAACATAAAAGCTTTAAAAAAATTTATATTTTTTTGTTTATAGATATATATTTATAGATTATATATATTTATTTAAAAAACAAAAATTTTATATAAACAAAAATAGCGATATTACTGTATAGGCAAGGACCAACTATACTATTTAGTTAAAATAAATTTATTCTAAACAGAAACATGCTTGATGAAAGAAATGCATTTGTTTCAGCAAGAAATGTGCCTTGTGGCCCACTTCTTCTTAAAATTATATAGAGCGTTAAATGATTACAAAATCAACAAATACCTAGTTTTACAGTTCACGAGCAAAGTAACGCATTTCTTTAATAATATTCAAACATTATTTTAATGAATTAAGCCATAAAGTAAATTACCAAAAATACTAAATTATCAAAAAATAATTTTTTTAATTCAAAATATAATTTAATATAACTAAAAAACAAAAACAAAAACAAAAATCTACTGCAATTCTTAACTAAATTAGGACGACATTTAGTACTTATGGATTTTGATATTTTGTAAGTCTCTATAAGGAATCAAACTGAACTAATAAAAAAAAAACCAAATTGAACTAATCAAACTTTAAAAGTTTGATTGGTTTAATCTATCCAATCAAATATATAAATTTTTTTTGTATCCAATCAAATATATAGATTTTTTTTGTAAATTATCATACATGTTCATTATTTAAAACATATATTATGATGTGAAAAATATAATAAATTTTATTATATGTAAATTAGCCAAATTAACTAACTAAATTTTATTATATGTAAATTAGTCAATAGAAAAAAAGAAATAAATAAAAACATAAAAATAATTGTATACGAAAAAGAAATAAATATAAACATAAAAATAATTGTAAAAATGATACTTTCAATATATTTTTATTCAATTTATTGATAAAGTTAAATCTTAGTTATTTTTCGTTTATTTATTCGAGAATAATTGTCAATATAGTTATCACACATTTTAGCTTATTAGGCTTTTTAATTTTTATTTGATTTTTTGTTTTTGAACTTCTAAGAATTTCATATTTTTTATATTTCTTATAAGTTATGAATTTTTAAATTAAGTCATTAATAGGGCTGGGTGATATGTCTAACAGTTGCCTCTTTTCGATTAAAAACAATACCCGCTCCGCCAAGTTGTCGTGACTAATCAAGGGAAGGAATTCTACTTATAAAAAGCTTTTTATTTAGAAATGCTTCCCATCACTAGGAGATTTGACCCATAAACAACATTGATTTGATTTGCTCTTTTAAGATTTTTGATAAAAATTTTCATTTGTCGACTGCCATCAACAGATCCAATTTTGCCGACTCCAGTGTCCAAATTTGCCGACTAATTTTTAAATAAAATTTTTGTTGGAGGGTTAGTTACCCCTAATGCCCCCTCGGAACAACCCGGAACCTGATTCAGACCGAAATACAAATCTAAAGATATCTACTTTTAAAATTTGGCAAAAGATCTGTGGTTCAATAGTAAAACAAGACTTTAGTTTTTTGCATTATTCTGGATGATTCAAATCTAAATAAATTGATTCGTACGCTTGCTCACTCTACACCAAAGACCATTAAAATTTTTTTTTTGTAGAATTGGAGAAAGTCTTTGCTGAGTAATATCATGCTTTTCAGCCTGATTGTTAATAAACTCAGGTATGTGCTTGATAACAGCAAGAAATTTATGCGTAATTGTAATTCGAAGGCTTTGCATGCTCTCTCAAGTAATAACATTAAACCTCTATAAGTGAAAATTAGAACATTCTTAAAGAATGTCTGTCTGGCTGCATTGAATGTTTTAAATTCATTCATTTAATTTTAGCATTTGCAATTCTTCTAGAAACCCAGAATCATTTTGTTTGATCGACGTAATATTTAGGTTTTTCGAGGGTGTACAACTTTTCAATTACTTGCTCAAAATTTGTATCAATGACCAATGCTGACATCTTCTTTCTAGAAGATGTCAGCATTCGTTTCCATTTAATTCTCTTTCATGGATTGATGGCCTGTAGATGCTTAGTTTGTTTGAGCTGTCAAGATTGTTTCATCAATATAAACAGTTTGCGTTACTATAAGACAACTTGGCCATGTTTGTAAATACGTCAATCTTTAGCAATTTTAAAACAAACTAGATAATTATCTAAAAGAAGAAATAACAATTTCTAATTAGTATATTTGGATAACAGGTTGACAGGCACTCATGCTTATACAGTATTGATCTGTAAACCTTATAAATTAATAATAATGACAAAATAATAATGTTTTTTTATTGCTATTTTATACAGTTTATAAAAATAAAAACATAAGACACAATTAAATTAAACGTGTTTTATCGTCACTAAGAACAGGGTATAAGAATACAAACAAATATAAAACTGCATATAAAAACAAGTGCACAAAAATCTAAGAAATTTAAAGGTAATTTTTATCTTTAATTTTAAAAAATTTAAAATTTTTTAAATTTATACTTTTATTCTTTCATTCGTTTTAATTTATTGCCTTTACTTTTTATTTTTACAAAAATTCGTTTTAATTTATTGCCTTTATTTTTCATTTTTACAAATTGATTCTTTCTGCAGGATTTAAAGTTTTACTAACAAAATAAGTTTGAAATAAATTTCTAAATTATGAAATAGGGTAGTTAATATATAGTAGAAGCAAAAAAAACCTAATTTTTTTTTAATCTTGTTCTGCATTACTGCATGTATTATTAATAAAACCCTTTTAGCTTACTAACCTATAGGGCATTTTTAGATGTCGCAATCAATAGTGACCCGTTTTACGAGTTGCTTACTTCTAGTTTACATTATTATTTAAAAACAATATTAACTTTTCATAGTTAATAATTTGTCGTACAAATAACGGTCATAGTAGTTCAAGTGAACAAGCCAAACAAAAGATCTGATAAATGATTTTTACAATAGGTTGAGTAAATAATGCTAAATTTGTTTTGTGAATTGTGTAGAAAATATAAATTACAAACGCAAACTTTGAAGCATATGAAAATTTAGTTTAGAAAAAGTATAAATTAAAAGTTAAAATAAAATAATTGAAATATTTTCTATAAGAACTATAAAAAGTTGTAATTTCTAAAAAAAACCTTTCTATAAAACGTGTAAACTTCACAACTTTAAAAAAAAACAGACATGAATCAATCTAATTCAACTACTGATTATTGTGAGAGTACAACAACAACAAGACATTTAGTTTTTTTGCTAATCTGTACATGTATGCTCGTTATTGGTTTGCTTGGTAATGTTTTATGTGTAATAGTTATCTTGGGGTCTCGACAACTTCGTAGTATTACTGGTTATTATTTTCTTATTTCGTTAGCCAATGCAAATATAGGTGTTTTGTTATTCGTTGCTACTTATAAAATTGATTTTTTTAAAAATAATTTAAGCTATTGCCATTCGTTTGAGTACTGCGTATTTTCAACGTTTGTTGACTATTTATTCTCGATTGCAGCAGCGTTTCATATGACAGTCATTGCTGTTGATAGATTTATTGCTATAACCAGCCCCTTCTTCTATAGTACACATTTCATTAAAAAAAAAGTAAAATTTTATATTTTATTTGTTTGGCTATGGTGCGCACTCTGGGCAAGTTTGGGTATTTTTCGTTGGGATAAAGGTAAAGTTATCCTTATAATGGAGCATCGACGATGCGTTAACGAAAATAAATACTATTTATCCACAATGTTAGTTAATATAGTTCTTTTGCCAGTAATTATATTTTTTTGGTGCTACATGCATATATTTCGGGTTATACAAAATATCACTACGTACCAAAATAAATTATACTCTAACAAAAACAAGTTACCTAGAAAAGAGGTGAAAGCCGTTAAAACAGTTTTTATAGGTTTTGTTGTTTTTAGTGTATGTTATGTGCCACATTCTACAACATCCCTTCTCAGTGTCTGGACTAAAATTATAAAAAAATTTTATGATGCATATCCTAACGGGACTGAGATTTTTCTTTCTATAGTATATCACATTTTACCGTTGCTTGATAGTTGCGTAAATCCTTTCTTGTACTTTGTGTTCGGCTCTCAATTTAGAAAAGCTTGGAAAGAGTTATATTTTAGATTCATCGAAAACCCTCATACTGTTAATAATAAACCAATAAAAAGAAAAATTGGTAAAAATAAGCTTTTCAGAAAGACCAAAACAAACATTTTCAAACTCTCAGAAAATGAAACTTCATTTAGCATAGAAACTCTAGAGTATGACACAAGTATCACAGTAAAAAGCGGCGTGGATATTATAGCAGGGCAAGTGTCGAGCTAATATATTATATATATACCGAAGTAACATGAATAATAAAACACATTTGTCAAAATATACAAAATATTTTCCATTCAATTCTTCAATCATAAAGTATAAATTAAACAAAACTAGTAAACTTGACATGGAAAAATAAAAGTTGATAAATATCAACTCTATCAAACTTATAAATGTATTGTTCAAAAATGTAAAATATTTTCAAAAGTTTTAAATGATCTTAAAATTTAATTTGTTTAATTTTAAATTTATATTACGTATATACTATGTATGTAAAAATTATTAATTTTATTACAAGTACAAATCATTGCAGACAGTTAATTTCTGGATGAATTGAACGTTAAAATTTTACAAAAAAATCTAATAAAGTTTATTCAAATCTAAAAATTTGACGTAAAGTAAAAACATAAAACCCTTAATTATTATATAAGTATGTATTTCTTATTTAAATATATAGAACACTCAAAATATATTAATACCTTGTACTCTATACAGAGTCAGAGCCGTCTCTAAGAAATCTTAATTAAAGTTTGCAGAGGAGGTGAAGGGGAGGGGGAGGGGAGGGGGAGAGGGGTTAGGTGGGGTATGCGACGAGTCTGATGAAATAAAACTTTTTTCCTTCAATATTTGAAAATTTTTTTCCCATATTATTAATTCATTTTATATATACTATATTTATATATTTATACTATATTTAGATATTTTGTAAACATGAGAACAAACCCTAACCCTGACCTTTAAGATTAGGTTCAGGGTTACAGTACGGTTTTCAAAAATATTTTACGGACTTATTAAAGGGCGTACCTGAAATAAACGCTTACCTTATTTTGAGCAAGATTTTTAGCTAATTGATTGTCTACTTAAGTTTATTCCAATTACATAGAATACTGAAATACGTTTTCAGATAGCTATATCCCAGCCAGCCATTTGGTATTATAATTATATCATGATGATCTCATACTGAGAGATCTATGATATCATAGCATGATACGTTTATGAGATCAATATGATATCAAAACGAAATCACACAGTTATATCAACTTGATCTCAAATTTGATATCATAATATGAGAACGTGATGATATCAAAAGTTGATATCATCCTGTACTCAGAATTAGAAGTCGTATTTTGAGAAGTTCATGATATCATGATTATATTAAAATGAAATCACACATTGATGTCAACCCGACCGTAAAAATTTGAAGTCTTTTTTATAATCAACTTTTTTTATTCAAATATTACTACACCTCTGTATATACAAAATAATACAGCGCAAAACACAAAAAGAAATTGTATGTTTATAATTATAATAAACTTATAATGTGCAAAAAATAATTTTTTTCAAAAAAAAATTCGTAAGCGTTCTTTAAGAAAAAATACCAAAAGAAATTGTTTATAAATATTTTAAATTTATAACATGTAAAAAATAATATATTTAAAATATATTTGAAACTGTGTTTTACACAATCTTTTCATCAGAACCAAGTTAATCCGAGATTCAAATTTATTTTTGGTTTATCAATTTAATTTAGAATTCTAAGTTTAGATTTTATCTTTGCATTGAGTTTATAACTGAAATTCAACATTTTAATTAGTTTTCTCGAAATATGTTTCCAATATCTTGTTTCTACAACAGCACATTGTATCTAGGGATCGATTTTGTATGAACCAAATTAATGAACAGAATTTAAACTAAAACACACGAGTATTGATATATATTTAATAAAACACATTTATTATAAGAACTTAACACCTTTATTACTAATATATAATTGTTTTTATGTATGTTAAAAACAATGTTTTACGTGTAATAGTATAAATTAATATGGTAATAATTATCAAATTAAAAAACCAACTTAATTTCCAAAAATAATAATATAGATTATAAAGTACACTCCATACACAGGAGAAAAACAATAAACAAACCTCTAAAAAGCAATCTAACTTGTATTTTGTTGATAAGAAATTCCAAAAATTTTTAAATAAAAATTTAGTTATAATCTCGATTCGAGACTATGTGATACTATCGAACTGTGTATCATGTGGTATGATACTTCTTGGTACTGTTTGGTATCAAATCCATACTAATAGTATCAACAGTAAATAAGGGATACCACAAGAAGCAAGACTATGCTTCTCAGTATTGACTTACATGATATCGATTTTTTAGTGTCAAATAGCCAGCTTTCACTTTTTTTGAAAATAATGAAAACATTTAAAAACAAAAATAATCAAAGAAGCTAATTCAAGAAAGTTTTTCTGTGATTGGTCTCTTATTGTCAAACAGGTTAAACAAAAGCTTTAAAATGCATAACTTTTTTCTTAATACAAAGACAAAATGGAATCTTAATACTAGTTCTTCTTCTGTTTCTGCTATCAGGCACAAATCATCTGCATAGAATAGCTTCCATGGTAAACCATTTTTAAACTCTTTAGAGAGAGTTTTAGAGAAGAGTTTTAAAGACTTTAGAGAAATTTCTATACTCTTTAGAGAGAGAGTTTCTATGACAATAATAAAAAGTAAAGGACTAAGCACTGAACACTGATGCACACCAACCTTTACTTTAAAAATATCATTCTCGCCATCTCTTGTTTTGATTTTTTTTGCGACATTTTCATTTATAGCCATGATGATGCCATCAACAGATTGCTTTTATTTTCTAAAAGTCTTTGTTGAAATTGCCTTACAACGAATATAGTCCAGGAGCATAACTCAAAAAACCACTGTTTGTGGGAAAAATATTTTATCTTCAATCATAGACTTATTATATACCATTTTAAAGCATTTTTTATGCTAAACAACTTTTGAAATATCACTAAGGTCTTAAAATAAATGGGTGACTAGTTATTTAACAAAAAAAAAGCATTATGACAGCACTCGAAATAGCGGTCGATCAATGATCAGATTTCATTTTTGCAATTTTGTAGGGTACGTAGAGAAACAGAATGTATGAATAACAAGGTCAAATATAACAAAGAGACTTAAAAATAAAAATATGTTTTTGCCTGATTTTTATCAATATTATTGTCGACCCTAAAAAGATGATTAAAAAGCATGCAATTATTTTACAGGAAGACCTTTTCAAAATTATGTTGTGTTTTTAAAAGTTTAAATTTTAAAAAAATTTTTTGATTTACAAACTGTTTATTTGCTTTTCACTCATTCTTTCATAAAAAAATTTCAAACACATATAAAATAGCTACACCCATTAGTGGACTAATTGCTATAAAGCAACTAAAATTTTATTGTACTGAATTTTTTCTTTAAAACCTTAGGAAACTGTTTGTAAGGCTTGCAATCCATAAAATAATTAAATAAACTGCTAAATAGTAACAAAAACATAAAAGGAAGAGCTATTTTTGTATCTTAAAAAGATGTAACTATTTTAAGCATTTCATACCTTCATTATTTTGCAATTTTTCAACAATACTTTCTACATTATTTTTTTCCTATGGAATACGTGACATGTTTTGCTTTGATATTTGACAGGTGCTTTTATATTTGACCTGTTATTACTTCTCCAGGAATGTTTTCAAATGATTTTGCAAGACCATCTTATTGCATCGCATCTTAAGTAGTTTGACTGCTTCATCAGAAGCAGATTCAGTTAACTTTTTTTGATGAGGTAGATTAGGTACGTAAGTAAAATTTCAAATTGTTTAAATATTCTACTGTTATATATCATTAGAAAGAGGACCAATACAGTATTTTAAAGGTGAATTTTCGATATATGGAATTGTTGAAGAAACTGTGGTCAAAATTATGTTTTTCTTCACTTAAATTGTCATAACTTTATTAATTCTAATCAAAATACAAATATCTTGGTGTCAAAAGAAAGGTATAAGAGTGGGCTACAAATTTTTGTTAAACTCTAACCACCGGGTGTATTGGATGGACAGAGGGGGCACCAAACCATCACCTTACCTGTATGAAACTAAATATTTTTTTCACAAAAAAAGTCTTTTTTCAACACATAAGTATTTTAAATATACAAAAACATTGTTATAAATTTATATTTAACCACCAGAGTATATAAGAGGCGTATGTTAACGTTGGAGGTGGGTGTGGCGGTGATAGTTTGATACACCCTAGTATCATATAAGACTTGTTTTCATAAATATTTTTATCTTTACTAAAATGATTTCAATTAGTATACAATATAAAATTATGTTCTACAAGAATTTGCGTGGTGTTACTATTACGAATTTAAGTCGTGTTTACATCGAATTATGGGAGGGGAGAATAAACCCCCCTCCCCAACCTAAAAAAAAAGTTAAAAAAAATTAAAATGACACAACTACTGTTTCCTAAAGTCCCAAAACAAAGTTTTTTTCTGTATAAAAAAGGTTCTATAAATTAATACTGGACAACCACCAAACATTGAAGGTAAGTGTAAAACTCATGTTAAATGTGTTGACCATGTTTTAATCATCCTAATATCGCAAAAAAATTTTAATTATGAAATATTTGATTGGTTATTTAAAGAACAACAACAAAGAAGTAAAAAATATATCTTATCCGGTAAAAGTTACATCAGTGTTGCATCCATTCTCAAAAGAGAGGGGCTATCCCCCCCTTTCCCCAAATTAATCATTTTTTTTTTAAAAAGCGTTTTTGATTACTTGGAGAATTTTTGGTTAAAATATTCTTATACAGAGTGACTTCTATTATCAGTCAATAGTGGTAAAAAGGTAATCAAAACAAGGTATTTACCAACCTTTATAAATCTTCAAATCTTTCATATAGTGCTTGATACTAGTTTGGTTAACAAAAAGTTCGGCTGTTTCAAACTAAAAACCAAAAAAAATGTTATTAACACTAAATAATGTTTGATTATTTTAATGATGCTTTATTTCATAAAGTTTTTTCTTGGCTTTTAGTGAATGATTACAATGATAAATTATACTGATGAAATTATTTTATAACCATTTTTAACAATAGACACCACGTGAAGGTAAGCCAGAGTCGCCTATCAAAAATACATAGCAAGTTAATAAAATGTTATTAAAAAGAAATAATAATGGTTTATCTCATATAGTTTTGTCTTGGCTTTTAATGAATGATTACAATAATAAATTTCTTTTAGCTAGTCACAACACTGGTAGTATTTTTCAGCAATTCATTTGTAGTACTTTTTTAGCTTAAATTTCAAACTTGTACTTTCACAGTGTTTTATTAATATAATATAAAATTAATAAAATTGTAACTCTTCTGAAATAACATCTGCAACAAGCTGGATCTTTTTCATGGAATGGTCAACAGCTTCCATATATGTTTCATCATCTTTCCAGTAAG